GCTGCAGAGCATTGGCAGGACAGAAATGCTTATGAGACCCTACTTCGAATCTCATCGTAGGCGTCTATGTGTAGCAACTCAACTGATAAGCACTTGGTCTGATTTTACGAGTGGGGTAGCTGCTCTTTCAGACTCTTAATTAACAGCCTGGCAAATTCGTTTCGCGTAATTAAAACAATTTAATTATTTATGCGTGCATAATTGAAAATGCATTGCTGTCAGGCAGGAGCAACAATTCACGCACACACACACGCGCGAGGACTCTTAAAAACCAATCGATACTGCGGCCAACGCCCAATAAAAATGGCGGAAAACAACAATAACAACAACAATAACAACAACAACCACACCAACAGCAGCTTCAATTTGTTGAAAGTTCTACTATATACGACATAAACAAATATACATACAATAAATAAATTGGAGCAGGCGTAAATACAAAATACATACATATCCGTGCACGCAAACGCACACTCACACAGACTGAGGTGAACAGCATGCAGATGCAGCGTACAATAAATAAAATGCAGCAAACGCATTGCACAGAAGCAGAAGAAAGAGTGCTGAAGCTGACAACGATGTTTGGCTGGAGTGGAGAAAGAGAGCGGTCGGGAGTCAAGGGCTGGACAAAAGAGATTTGTGATGCGGTCAGGCCAGCTGGGCTCACGCACAACGAGAAGCCCCATATTAAAGGATTAAGGGTGAGGTTCAACTGCATAAGGCTATCAATATTCAATCCGAACTCCACATAAAATACAAATATTTTAGTATAGAAATAAACTCCTTTCTCCTCTTCAACATGATATTAATGATAGTATTTCAATTTTGTACTTAAATCTGAACAAAAGATGGATTATCATTTACCCTATTTTCTACATAATCTTGAACTTTAACATAGAATTCTAATAGTTTAAGTCGGCAAGCTAAGCTGTATCAAAAATGCATTGTTATAAAGATTTTTAGATTTTTCATTTATAATCATTTATATAAATCTATTTCGCCGCCTGACTGTCTGGAAACATCCTCTATAAATGTAATTCCATGAAGTGCAATTCATAAATCAATATATTTCTTTTCAATATTTAATTTGAGCGCCGGATGACAGATAATCCAGGCAACTTGTGCAGGTTCTTTGATTATTCGGCAGCCCTGGTCTGCAGCATAAATGAATAAATATTTTGCAATTTTTTATTTGTGTATATATTTTTCATTTTGTTCCATTTGCTCTTGTTGCTGCATATCGTATATGAGTAATGCAAACGGACAGACAACGAGGCGGGCGGCTGCGGCGAATTGAGGTGCGGCTCACAATGGGCGACACGGCGTATACGCAATACATACAGACAATCACATGCATACGCACTAGTGCAACCCATGAACGGAACTTGTATATAACTGTAGCGTACAGCCATATGCATATGTGTGTGTGTGTAAAGCGGATTTCGAAAGCATAAAAACGACGAAACGACAACGAGACCGGGAATGACCCACAATGAAAACGGACAGTGTGTACAAATAGAGGCAGCAGCTGCAGAAGCAGCAATGGATACACACATTCGACCACATGCACATGCACATGTCCCATAAATATAGCACACATACACACACACACGCACAAAGACACGGAGCCATATACACATGGGCCTATTTATTGAGGCTGTGTGTATGTAGAGTCGTAGTAAAACGCTTGACGCAGGTAAGAGGCTGGCACAGCTTCACGGCACTTTACAAATTTGCAGCTGAAAGCTGCGCTTTGAACAATCAAGCGTGCTACAAACACACACATACACAGAGAGCAAGCAAGCAAAGACAATGAAAGCAAAAGAGTATACGCAACGCAGCTGTCGAAAGCGTAAATGAAAATGAAAAATTGTGTAGTCGGCATGCAGTAGTAGCAGCATCAGAGCAGCGGCAGCAGCAGCAGCAGCAGCAGCAGCAAATTGAAACACAACAACAGCAGCCACAATGGAGAATAGGCTGGCAATGCTGCACGTTGCATATTTCGGGGCGTGTTGCAGGTCCAGTTAATCGGCTGCAACGTACGTATTCAGGTCATCATTATTGATTCGCACTCGCCGCCGCTGTGCGTATAGAGACATGAATTTTACGTACGCACTTGCACATAAACTCGTACATGCATGTGCACATGCACACACACACACGAGCGCACATGCAGGCATGTACATATTTCGGGCATTATGTAGCTGGCAGCTGCATATGGCAATGGTCTCGTTATGTATTTTGAGCCCTACTTAGTTGCAGGCGCTATTAACTCTGGTCAGGCTCATTACTAGTGCACAACCGCTCCAACCGGCCTCCCAGCCAGCCTCCATCGCAGGCGTTTTCTACTAATCAGCAGCCATTATGTAAAGTCAGTCAAGCAAGCAACAGCAGCAGCAGCAGCAACAGCAACAGCAGCAGCAACAACAGCAAGCAGTCGCTTGTACGGCTTGTGCGGCGTATGCGCAACGTGCCCCAGCGCAGCCAATTTAAGGCGTTGCAAATTGCTCTTGCCGCAATTCACCTGACGAGCCAGCGCGCGTACAGTTAACGAACCACCCACGCTTCATCTTCTGCGGCTGTAATTTAAGAGAAGAAAAAAGTACAAAATAGAAAAAATTAAAACGATATCCATTTTGGCTCAGCAATTTCGTCTCGGTGTCGTCGTTCAGCGCAAGACTTTCATATCTCGTATTTTAGCGCCCTGAATACGCAGTGCGTTGCCAATTTGCTGACAGCAGACAGGACACGACAGGGACGACTGCCTGCCTGCCTAGGCAGGCAAAAACTCGTTTAGTTTTCATTTCATTTTCCAAGCAACGCTGCAAATGCGTTTGCTTGGCACTTTTTGCTATATTCGCAGCCGCCTGCTGCTGGCATAACCTCATACAATTTCTTTAACATTTATTAGAATTTGTGCGAAGACTTTCAGCTTGGCGTTTGGAGGCTGCTCGTCTTGGCTTCCCAACTCTAAATTGCTTGCAGCCTCCAAAGTACATTGTGTACATACATATATAAACATGGACATTTCTCTCCCTTCCTTGCTCAGTTCGCTGTCTGCATTCATTCAAAAAGCGCCAGGCCACGCCAGCTGCCGTGTGCCGGGTGCCCGACGTGAAGTAACGCGCTCTGCTTGCCGGGTGTGTGGGGCCTGTTGTACGCTTCAGTGTTGGCGTGTCATAAAAATGTCGACGCTGCCAACACGCAAAATGACAGCTGCACAATGGGCGCTATAAATACCATACTCATGTGAAAAACATAGGGACAAATGATTTAGGGCATCAGCTGTTACCTGTAGGTCAAGAGTCAATCTTTTGAAAATCTGAGTTCAATTCAATTACAGTTGAACTCAAATCCCAAAGGCCCCACGTGATCATTAAGATATTTTGATACGAAATGGAGTTGCTGTGAGAAATTGCAATAGTCTTAAGTGACAAGTAATAACAACATTTATTGTTATATGAATAGTGATGTAACAATCAGACTGGAATATAACACCCACAATACAAACACAATATATATCACATGATTTCCAAATTTATTCTTCTTTAGAATTTTTGACATTTTATCAAATGTCGTGTAAGGATATCAAGCGAATTTCATGACACATTAAGCTATTTTTATTATCATTTATTAACTAATAAACATTTACAGAGCTCAAATATTTTTTACTATTAAGGAGAACAGACTTTATTTTTTATATAAATTTCACTTAAAGTCTAGGGATATCTATGTGTAGATAGAAAAACCATTCAACTCCAACGAACTCAATGAGGACTGTTGTAAACAAATACATTTTTAACTTACCTAATAATTGAGTTGGGTTCGGGCAACCCAACGTGATTTATTTAAAATATTAATAATATTAAATTTTATTATTGATGTTAATGAACTTAATGAACTCCAAATTCTACATTTGAATATGCCATTTTAATTTGACCTCTGACATAGCATTTCATGCCATTGTACATTCGCCCGTTGGCAGCTTGTTTATTTTTGTCCTCTGTATGCTGTGGAATTATTTTGTACACATTTATTTTTCTTACTTTTTGTGTGTTGTTGTTTAGCACCTATTTGCTGCCTGTTGGTGATGTTGTTGTTGTTTTAGCTAGTCGGCCAGACAACTATGCGCTATTGCCCTGATTAGAGGTGTTGATAAGCCAAGTCGTCCTATCCCAAGCAGCCCATTAAAATTATGCATCTATCTATCTGTCTTTGCGGTGCGTTTTGCATTAGCCGCGATTATCGCAGTGTCGCAGTGGCGTAGTCAGGCAGCAGAGCCGCCATGATTCAGCACCATGATTCGAGCAGTTGCTCCTCCAGTTGCCGCAGGCCAAGTGGACTATAGAACAGCAGTAACAACAATACGCAGATTTGTACTTTTATGTATGTGTACAACAACTTGAAATGCCGTCATGTGCAGTATGTGTGGCATTGTTTCGTTAAAACCCAAAGAGTTCCAACAATGAACCGTTTGCAACAGCAACAGCAACTGCTGCGTCATGCACTTGAAATACCAGTCAAGAGCAGCGGCAGCAACAGCGCAGTCGCCCCAAAATTGGCAGGAAAATGGTTTTTGGGGCCAATGTTTGTGTTTTTTTTACATTTTTATTTGTTGTTTTGAGTACTGAAAACAGAACAATGCGAATACAACAAATACAACTGCAAAACAAAAGCAATTGCGATGTTTGCAAATGTAATTACACACATGATTATCAAGAGTGAAGAGTGAAGCTGCCAGTTCGCCGGGGTTACGTCTACTTCTGGCTTTTTACTTAAAGCTGAATGACTTTCATTAAAGATACTCATATTTGTTCTGTATATAAATTGATTGCTGATATAAAATGAACTTACTTTATATTTCTATATGCCTATAATATATGAATGTGCGACCCCAAAGCTCAAACCCCCAATAAAAAAGAGAGTTGGTTTGTGATTAAAATTATTTATTTTTTTAATTTGTTTATTTACAGAGTGATAAAAGCTTTTTAGGCTCCTCCTCACTTAACTCTCACAGCCAGTGCCAATTGTTTGTGCTGCGTGTTTGTATGAGAGCGAGAGCGTGATCGCCCATGGGACCGCCCCCTGGAATGGCCGCGAGAACGGCCCCGAGAGCGGGAGCGATCTCGCTTGCGATCTCTTGCGACTGCAGAGCTTTTTCTTCCGACTGCAAACTCTTGATCGGAAGAGTCGGAGTCGGAATAGTCTCGACACCGACACTGGCTACGCTTTCTTCTCCTAAGGGATCGCCTAGTTTTTGAGCGTAGTTCTGTTAAATTTTGGCTCTCCTCCAACTCTTTCAACACATCTACAAGCAAACACTGTGCTTGATTAGCCTGTAGAATGAGTCGGCTTATCAATTCCCTATTTTCATCGCTCGACATGATTATATTGTATTTTGTTTCTTTAACGTATAACGCTCACACTTTCAATAAAACATACAATTTCTATACTCCCACTTGCAGCTCACGCATTCAACTGATAAAAAGCTCAAAGCCGACGCAGCTTTTATAAGAACTCGGCCAACGTTTGGTAAACGTTTACAAACGTTCGATAAGCTTCAACGCTACGATTGCAAACGTCTTTTCATTGTAGTAAACGTACGGTAAACGTTTACTCTAACGCTGAGTCATAGCAAATCGTTAAATTATAAACACAATGTTTCAAAAATCATGCCAAGTGCCATGACAATCAAAAATTGAATTGTAAAGCTGAATGTTTGATCGAATTCACAGTGGAAAAATCAAAATGCGTTTTTTGCTAACAAAATTAAATTTGAGAGCGAGACCGAGAGAGTGAGAGTGTAATCAATCATAGAATACCCTGTTGGAGGATTATTTTACTAAAGTTATCATTTAAGCTTAAAATATAATACATAATAAATTATACCAAACAGGTACATGATATCTGCCCTTGAAATGTACCTGACTACCTTTGCAAAAGTAAGTCAAAGGTTGCAATATAGTCTTAAATAAATTATGCCTGACTTGTTTTTAGCATTATTTTGATTGAATATTGTAAATTTTATTTACTAAATTACTTCAATAATTTTCATTATGAAAGTTAATTTTAATTTTATTTTGTACATCATAATTAATGATTTAACGTTAGCCATCTGAATACTAAACAATGACATAATATACCCCATGTACTAGCTCCTACCTAGGGCGCGTAAAAGAATCGCGACTATCGCGCACACAAATGGAATAAGAATGAATCGCAGCAGCCAATGCTCCAAGTAAGTTTTGCCATGAAATCCCTGGGAACTTCAATTGTCGACAGTCTCACTGAGCTGAGCACATTTTGCGCAGTGTAGGAATACGTGAGATGGTGCAGACCACGTTCATCCTGTGCTTGGCTCCTCAAGTAGCTTGAAGTTAGGAATTCATTGTTAGTTATGCGTTTTCATTGCTTGTTTTCTTTGCGAATTTCTTCCGACGACAACCATGGCCATGAAGCTGAGGACACCAAGGCAAACTAAACGTCTTTCATTGGATTTTGGCATGCCAGGCATCAGGTTTGGAATCACGACTTCAAGCAGCCGACAGCAAAACAACAGCAAAAACAATAACAACAACAATAGAATAGAATAGAAAGCAAGTAGCTGTAAGCCACCCTCAATCGCATTGCATTGCACGGCGGCAAGTCAAAGTCAAAGTGTTCGACATTATTTGAAATTCATGAGTGGCATTCTGTGCCAGCGCTTGCCCTGGCTCTCGCTGGAGGCTCCACGTCTTGTCTGGCAAATAAATTCAAGGAGCAGCAGCTGATAATGGCATACTTAGCCCCTCTATTCACATGTAACTCCGCCTTCAGCAGCAGCGGCAGCAGCAGCACCCACGCTTTTAATTGAACACGCACGCTAATTAAGACACCAATAGTTCTGGCTTTACTTTTAGTTTTAGTTGTTCGTGCTGTCGATTGTGCGTTGCTGCTTGGCTTATATTTGGTATTTGGCTGTGTAGCGCTTTGCTTCACAAACCAATTTTCGTTTCGCTCTGCTTCCTGTGGATTCTCATGTAACGCAATTATTACGCTAATTAACTGTTTAAGTTTATGCTAATTACGCGCGCGCAAGTCACCCGAAACATTTCCTGGCAAGCGTTCAATTAAAAGGTCGCCCAATGCCAAGAACAAGAGAAATAAAAAGCTTCAAGAACTTGTAACATATACGACGTATAGGCAAAGGCATATCACATTTCGCTCAACTGATAATAAATTCAATACAAATAAAATAGTTCCCATAATAAATTCAGGGCAATCCAATTAGGTTAGGACTATAGAACACATTTCGCTTACAGACTGACTGTAGCAAGAGCTTTATTGTTTTGATGAAGCGATTTTTTACCGAACATAAGTTATTATATGTTATATATACCATATATTTTCATCAACAATCAGAGTCTTAATAGCATTTTCAGAGTGCTGTGTGTGTAATGTGTAATGTAAAAGAAGCGCAGAATGATTAGAATATCAGCTACTGGCAGGGTTCATGGCATCTCCCAGTTGAGCCGTATCGACAAGAGCACTTTTACTTGTTATTGCGTAGAGTTGTGTTTGTGAGATTAATATATCGATATATGTGTAGTTTTATGGTTGAACATTCTGTCATTCTGTAATTTTAATTCATGCTTAAGCCCCTTAAAAGGAGCAGACTTAAGGACTTACATCGCTATAGAACAACTCCAAGACAACAACACAATTAGATTTCTTTATTTACTCATACTAAGCTGGGAGTACATCTAGATCCATTCTCATGTTGAAGAAATGCAATGCTTTTTAAAAAGAGTCTTAAAATTTTACTGCTTCCAACACTTAAACGTTTTTAACTATCGCAATTCATCATGCATTTACTTCGACACGACCGACTGCATAATACTCGTTCACAGTTCAAACACAGCTAAATTTCTACATGATGTACAGATGGACGGCCTTAAATACTCTCTATACTCCGTTAACGTGTATAGAAAAACACATTTCATAGTAAAACATGTGCTTATTGTAAACGTCACTTCTTTTATTCGAAACTTAGACAGCATCTTAAACTAATGCACTTACTCTCTCATCACTAAAACTCAAATCCCTCCAGCAGCTGCAGCCCCTCTGTGCCACGCAGCTCAGCCATTGCTGACGCTGACACTGGTGCCCATGGCAAGTAATACTTCATTCCTGGCATTCGCACGTCAGCGACAAGCGGAAACAGTTAGCAGCCATCATGGCTGCTCAGCCCGCATTCCCCTTGTCCACCTCCTGCTAATGTATGTGTGCACATGCATTTCTTAAAGCCAGTGACTGTGTGTGTGTATGTAATTATTGTAGGTCCAACGTCATCGTCGTGTTTGTGTCGACAACGCCGCCAACTTGTTTGCATACAAATTAAACTCGTCATTTATGCGCGCTCTCTCTCTCTCTCTCTCTCTCTCTGTCCCTCTTTCTCACTCTCTCACTTGCTCTCTTTCTGTACAGCCCTCTGTCTCCCTCTTTATCTCTGTCTCTGTCTTTCTCTCCCTCTCTCTTAATAGCTATCTCATACTCTCTCCCTCTCTCACTCTCTTAGCGCGCCCACTCAATAGCGCGCTTCGCTGCACACTGTAGATTAATTTATCATCTCGCTTTACAAGCATTCTATGAGTGTAATGAACTTTTAACAAGCAACTGCCACGCCCACAATACCCAACGCCCAACCATATACAGCCCGCCGACGCGTTAGTTTTTGCGCATCCAATTAGTTTTTGCAATTTTTCCCAATGATTTTATTAGCGCAATGCAAATATTGTTCAACTGCTCCACTACACATCCATCAACCGAAAAGGAAATAAAAAACATATTATATCTGTATACATATGCATACATAGATGTACTAGTTATGCTTATAGTTATGTGGAGATTCGAGGTGTGAAAGCCCCCAAGCCCAAAAAATTATTTCTGCTAATGGAATTTAATGTTTTATATAAGTTAGCTTAAAGCATCTCTTGCTGAATTATTAAATTCTTAACAAAAGACTTATTCAAGACAAATTCAACTGCAGACTTAATATTACTTATCGTTTTATAAATTTAAATGTATAAAATACTTTTATCAATATTCCGATAACAAAAGATATCCTCAACAACATAAACAATGAGACATTTACACACATAACACAAGGTATAAGATTTGTATACATACTATGGTGCATTAAATGTGTTATTATGTGTACAAAACTAATATTGTGTGGGAGATGAGAGCTGGTGGTTCTGCCAGCTTAACAAAGTTGAAAAACATAATTAAAGTTTTGCATGGCGCCGATCCTTTGGGACAAATGCCTGAAACCAGGACTAAAAGTTGACTAATGCGCGCAGCTTTCACGCGCCGAAAGGTAATTAAAATGCTAATAAACACTCGTTAAGTACATAATAACCCAGCAGGAGCCGCAACAGCAACAAGAACAACGTTAACGGCAGCAGGAATAACAGCAGCGCCCTCCCGATAAAGAAGACCCAACTAATGCGACTTATCTGCAAATTTACACCAGGCACGAGTCGGCAACACGTCGCACACTTTGCTCTCTACCAAAAATTTACTAAATTTATGTCTCAAATATTCACAAGCACACACACACAGCCTGCGACTTAGAGGTCGTTTTTTGGCAGCTCTCGACTGCGCTGGCTCTGGCGCACTACTCGACTCGGCTCGATACGACTCGACTCTACTACTCATACAAAAATTATTTAACAGGATCGCATTGCTTGTCATGCGTCCGACGTCGCCTCTAAAATATGAATTACAAGTGAGATTTAAATAAATTAGCTCACGCCCACACATACATACACAAGCATAGTCGATACACACACAAATAGCCACACCTAACTTGTCATACAAATGCATATTGTTAATCCTTTCAGCTCGTCCTTGTCGTAGGCCTTGTATTATTCCCATGAGTATATTAAACAAGCTCGCCTAACTAATGGGAATATATACACCTCTAATTAGAGATAAAGGGTGTCATATTCGCTCTTCCATGTGATTCTCATACACTTTACCCTCAAATATAATTAAGCTGTGGCAGAGTGTATCGAAAAAACTTCAAAGTGTGGATGAAAAAACGAAACATGTTTTCTATTTGATACACATTTATTAAAGTTTTGGTTTGTGTATGTTTCGTAGCCTTCAGCAACACCCTATACAAAAATAAATCGCACCTTTTAGCTTGTTTTATGCCCCAAACACTGAACTCAAATTTTAATTAAGTTTTTTTCAAGTACTTTCTGTGTTTCTGAAGCTGCCCAAGCCCTCGCTACGGTTCTGTGACCCTGCGCTCCACAAATTGCCAGCAATTTCTCACGCCCTTGTGGTTGTTTTTGCTGTTGTTGTTGTTAATGTTGCTGTTGTGGCTTCTGCTGTTTTGGTCAGCAGGAGGCGGCCGAGAACGTCACTATATAATATGTCGAATATGTTGGCCTTGCCCGGTTATTAGACACCAAGACC